GTAGCAAATGCGGATCTGAAACCGGGAGAGAGCAGAGGTTCTCAGAGACCGCCGCCGCCGCGTGCTCACCGCCCAGGCCCCCGCGGGGTATTTAGGTGTAACATCCAGGCGGGGGGACAAAAATATCCCCCCTCCCCCGAAGGATGGCGAGGGGCAGGAAGCTAGGCACGGCCCGTGCGCGGCCTCAATAAATAATTTCATTAAATGATAGATATTTAAAAAAAACAGAAACCACCGGAGGGGCCGCGAACTCACGCCTTCTTGGAGCCGCGCCAGCGCCAGAAATAGCCCGGGCTCGGAGTCCCAATTAGAGGAGCGCAGCCCCGGCTCAGGGGAGCTTAAAAAGAGCGACCCAGGGGCAGGGGGGACGGGCCCGCCCGCGCCAGCCGTGTCACCGAGGGGGCGGGGCCATGCAAATGAGCCCGGGGATTTAAAAGGGCGGCCGCCCGCCAGCCGCCCCGCGGGTGGGTGCTGACTTCGGGGAGGGGCGCGCAGTTCCCCGCGCCGGCGCCGGGGGCGGGCTGAGAAGGCGAGGTGCCGGCCCACTCCCCACCGTGTCGGATGGGGAACCTGGGGGAGTGCACAGAGGGGTCGTCTAGGAGCTGTTCCCGGGGTGGAGGGAGGGTGTCCCACTCCCGGGAACGGGGGCTGTTGTCCCGGGCGGAATCACCTCTAGGGTTCTTCGGGGCATCGGGGCCTGGCGCCCGCGGGGCGCGAGGACATGAGACGGTGGTGCCTGCGGGGTCCGCGGGGGCGGGGGGTGGAGAGAAACGCGCCTCCGGGAGAGTTCGCGGCCTACCCGCCGCCCCCTTCGCCCAGCTCCGCGGCTGGGAGACGTCCCCCGGGCGGACAGGTGTCCGCGTGCACATTTCAGTGCCAACCCGCGTGTGGCCACCTGGTGAAATATCGCTGTTGTGAAATTCAGACGTGAAACGTGTGAAACCCAGAGTTTTAATTTATTAGCGGCCGCAAGTGAACCTTAATCAAGGTGCATCCTTCAAGCACAACAAGCGGCGGGCTCGGTGCAGGTAAACCCGAGGAGACGCCCGCAGACGTGCTCTCCCGCGGGGGCTCGGCCGCATCCGCGTGACTTTCCGTGA